TATACGCCATTTGGCGTCCTCCCGCACATGCGCAATTCGCGCAGTTGCAGAGCCGCTCAGCGGTGCGATCTGTCACCGGCCGTGTGCCTCGTACGACACAGCAGATAACAGATCTGAGTACCGGCCCCCGTTGCCGGTACCATGTGACCTGCTGTGACCAATCACAGCAGGTCACATGACAGTTGTATACAATGGATGGCTTCATTCATGCCATCCATTGTATACTAGTGCCTAGCTGTGAATGGTCACAGCAGGTCACATGCACATGTCATGTGATTAGCTGTGGCCAAATCACAGCTAAGCACAAAAAAAAAAAAAAAAAACCTGAATGAATTGATGTCATTCAGGTAAATTCTTGCTTATAGCAAAGTAATTCTTTGCTATAAGCAAATTGTGTAAAAAAAAAAAAAATATCACTTCCCCAAAGTAGTACAATGTTACTATGGTAACATTGTACTACTATGGTCATAGTAAAATATGAAAAATAAATCTTAAAAAAAAAAAAAAATTAATAAAAAATTAAAAATAATAAAAATAAAAAAAAATAAAAAAAAATATATATTTTTTTTTTTCATACTGTCACCAGTGTCCCTGATCACCGCTATGCCAGTTATATGATGACGCTGTACTGCACTGGTGACAGTATGTAAAAAAAAAAATAGTGAAAATAATTTTTTTAATTTTTTCATTTTCCGAAAAAATTATGACAAAAAAAATACAACTTCTAAAAACTCGCCATTCCTCTTATGAAGACTGTCTACTCTGCAAAAAGGGGTCATTTGGGGATATCTGTACTATTCTGACTTCTTGGACCTCAAGAAATTAGATTGGCTGTCAGTACTTCAAGATTGATCAATTTTCAGATCTATACCATAGTTTGTGAACTCTATAACTTTCCTACAAACTAAATAATACATCCTTATTTGGGTTATTGTCACCAAAGACATGTAGCAGAATACATCTTGGCCTAAATTTATGAAGAACAATAATTTATTTGTAAACTTTTATAACAGAAACAAAGAAAAACGTGTTTTTTTTTCAAAATTTTTGGTCTTTTTTTGTTAATTTAGCAAAAAATAAAAACCCCAGCGGTGATTAAATACCACCAAAGAAAGTTCTAGTTGTGTGAAGAAAATTCTAAAATTTTAGTTTGGGTACAATGTTGCATGACCGCGCAATTGTCATTCAAAGTGTGAGAGCACTGAAACGTGAAAACTGGCCTGGGCAGGAAGGTGTAAAATTGCCCGGTATTGAAATGGTTAATGTCCAAGGACGTCCTCCCACATGTGTGTCTCCCATGAGCCCCCTGGGGTTGTGCATCAGCTGCGTTCTGTTACCACTATGGACACAGCTGATCACAGATTACGGTAGAGGGCCAATCACAGCGGACCTTTACCATGTGATCAGCTGTGTCCAATCACAGCTGGTCACATGTAAATAGACTTGCTGGTTATTGATATTTATTTTCTCACACTCTGTCTCTGTGTGGGGAAAGGAGAGCCAATAACCAGCAAGTCTGCCAGGACACAGTGCAGTCCCATCTGTGCAGCTTATCAGTGCTGCCCCATTAATGCAGCTTCATCAGTGCCTCTTCATCGGTGTCCATCTGTGCAACTTATCAGTGCCCATCAGTACAGGCTATCAGTGCCCATCAGTGCTGCCTCATCAGCGCACATCAGTGAAGAATAAACATTTTTTGCAAAATTTTATGTAGCGTTACCCTAGTGAGGGCCGCTATAGAGTGATGGTTCCCTTTTGTTGCCCTGACCTTGCAAGCCTCCTGACACCTCTGACACTCTGGGGTTTATTTACTAAAGCTGGAGAGTCCAAAATCAGACTCCCTTCTGCATAGAAACCAATCAGCTTCCAGGTTTCATTGCCAAAGCTTCATTGAACAAGCTGAGGTTAGAAGCTGATTGGTTTCTATGCAGAAGGGAGTCTGATTTTGGACTCTCCAGCTTTAGTAAACAAACCCCTCTGGGTTCAGACATAATGTACAAGTAGTCTTATTATAGACATTGACGATGGTGGTAATGTGGTTACCCCAGTGCTGCTTCTTTTTTAAAGGCAGGGTTCTTAACATGTTCAATAAGCTACGGTTAAAATCTCTCAGGCTGAGGATCTCCTTGTGGGTGGTAGGGGGAGGTTCTGGGTTTTCTTATGCTCAGCAGCTGGCATAATTTGTGCACTAACTTGCTCTCATAGTCTATACCTTGATTCTGAGTGTATTCGGGTAGGCAGACCATAATGCAGGAAGAACTTTTCCACTAAGACTTTCGCCACTGTGATGGCTTGTTGATCCTTGGTGGGATAAGCTTGAGCATATCGGGTGAAATGGTCAAGTCACCACCAGAACATTGCTTCTCCCACTGGCATCAGGCTCCAGGAACAGGAAGTTAATGCAAACTAACTCTATTGGCCCTTGACTCTGTAGGTGTCCTATGGATAAAGCTTGTGGCGGTAAAGTCTTTCTTTAGATGCATGGTAAAACAGGAATGACAATTTTCTACTCCAGTTTGCAGACTGAGCTAAAAAAAACTATCTCTGACTAATCAAAAGATTCTATTTGGGCCTAAATGTCCATGCTCATCATGGAGTGCCATCAACACAGTTTGTCAGTGCTTCTCTGGAAGGAATAGCTGCCACTTATCTTCGGAGTCCTCCGAGGGGACCCTCCTGTATAAGAGTCCATCCTGCATTTGCAGTCAATTCCATTCTCGATGCACTATTTTGGATTCCGGAATAGGGTTTTTTTTAACAGTTGGCTGGGGTTTTTCTTAGGTATTGCCTCTATAGTCAAATGGCATAGTGCTTCTTCCTCCTTATCCTTCCTCAAATCTCTACTTGACAATTGAGGCAGCACCTCGTCCCTCACTTGAGTCAAATCACAGTAGCACTTTGGTACTCCGAAGGGGGTAGCTCCAATGGACTCAGCTCTGATCACCCCCTTGAGCCTCTGGACAATGCCTTGACACAGAGCTTGCACTCCTGCAGATGTCACATGAGTCCAGTCATCTGGCTCTCCGGTCCGTCTGCAAGGCCTCTGAGACAAAGCATCTGCATCTCTATTCCCTGTTTCCAGGTCGGTATTTCAGACTGAACTGGAATCCTGACAAGGCTGCTAGCCATCGACGGCTGGTAGCATCCAGCTTGGCTGAGGTCAGTAGATATGTCAAAGGATTATTGTCAGTCTTCACCATGAAAATGGCCCCAAATAAATAGGCTTTCAACGTGTCTACTACTGCCCATTTTAAGGCCAGAAACTCCAGCTTGTGCACAGGGTAGTTCTCGGATAGAGTTACACTTCGACTCACATAGGCTATGTTCCTGTTCCTGGTATAGGACTCCTCCCAATTCCTCTCGACTGGCATCCACATGAAGTTCATATGGCTTAGCCGGGTCTGCATAAGCCAACACAGCTGCTTCTGTGAGGCTTCTCTTGAGGCGATTGAAGGCCTCCTCACACTGATGGGTCCACTGCCCTTGGATAGATTCTCTTGACTTCCTGGCCCTTGGCCTCACTTGCCATAGCTGGCAGTCTTTGTCATCCCCCTTGTTCTTGAGTAACTCATTAGGGGATGGGCAATCTTCACGAAGTTCACCACAACTCTCCGATAGTAGGAACAGAATCCTAGGAAAGACCTAAACTCCGTCACGGTGCTTGCTTGGGGCCAAGTTGTGACAGCTTCCAGCTTCTTCAGGTCTGTAGCAATTCCTTTGGCAGAAACAATATGTCCTAGGTAAGTGATAGATGTTTAACCAAAAAAAAAAGTTATAATCCTATACCCACCATTGATCCAGGGGAAGGAAAAAAAAAAACCTAGCAAAGCATGATATAATTTGCTCCTGCAGGGGTAAAAATTCCTTCCTGATCACCGAGAGGCAATTGGATATTCCCTGGATCAACTTTAAATGTTAGTATCCAGTTATATTGTGTGTATCCAGGAAAGAATTCAGGCCGTTTTTACAGCAATCCACTGAGCTGGCCAGAACAAACTCTTGAGGGAGTCTATTCCACATTTTCACAGCTCTTACTGTGAAGAAACCTTTTTGTATTTGGAGATTAAATCTCTTTTCCTCCAGACATAAAGAATTCCCCCTTGTCTTCTGTGATGACCTAAGGGTTAATAACTCTACACTGAGTTCACTATATGAACCACTGATGTATTTATACATGTTGATCATATCCCCCTTAATCTCCTCTTCTCAAGAGAGAATAAATTCAGTTCCTCTAATCTTTCCTCATAGCTGAGCTCCTCCATACCTCTTATCAGTTTGGTTGCCCTTCTCTGCACTTTCTCCAGTTCCCCAATGTTCTTTTTATGAACTGGTGCCCAAAACTGAACTGCATATTCCAGATGAGGTTTTACTAATGATGTGTACAGGGGTAAATTGATATATCTCTCTCTGGAGTCTATTCCTCTCCTAACACAAGAGAGGATTTTGCTCGCTTTAGAAACCACAGCTTGGCATTGCATGCTGTTATTAACCACTAGCCTACAGGGCACTTATACCCCCTTCCTGCCCAGGCCAATTTCCAGCTTTCAGCGCTGTTGCACTTTGAATGACAATTGCGTGGTCATGCAACACTGTACCCATATGACATTTTTATCATTTTTTTGTGACAGAGCTTTATTTTGGTAGTATTTAATCACCTCTGGGTTTTTTATTTTTTTCTTAAACCAAAAACCACTGAAAATTTAAAAAAAAACTGTTTTTTTTTCTTAGTTTTTGTTATAAAATTTTGTAAATAAGTGATCTTTTTCCTTCACTGATGTGCGCTAATGAGGCTGCACTGATGGGCACTGATAGGCTGCACTGATGGACACTGATAGGTGGCACTGATGAGGGAGGCACTGGTAGGTGGCACTGATGGGCATTGACAGCATCACTGATGGGCACTGAAAGGCAGCACTCATGTATGGCACTGATAGGCAGCACTGATAGGTGGCACTGACTGGCACTGTTAGATGGCACTGACTGGCACTGTTAGGCGGAACTGATAGGCAGCACTGACGGGCACTGATAGGCGGCACTGATGCACACTGATAAGCGGCACTGATAGGTAGGTGGCACTGACTGGCATTGATAGTTGGCACTGATGGGTGACACTGAATGAAAGGCAGCTCAGATAGGCACTGATATGTGGCATTGATGTGGCACTGAAATGTGGCACTGGCAGGTTGCATGGATGAGCACTGAGAGCTAGCACTGATGGACACTGACAGGTGGCGCTGCTGGGGCTACACAGATCATCAGGGCACACTGATCATCAGTGCTCCGATGATCTGTGTACATATCCCCTCAGAGGAATGCCGATTACCGGCTCTCCTCTCCTCACGAGCTGTCAGCGTGACAGCTTGTGGGGACAGAAATGCCGATAACCGGCATTTCCCTGTTTGCATGTGATCAGCTGTGATTGGACACAGCTGATCACATGACTGAGCCGACATCTTGGGCTCTTTCCGTGGATCGGTGATCCGCTGTGTCCGAGGGGCCCTGGGAGCCGCGCATGCGTGGTTAGAATGGGAGGACGTCATATGATGTCCTCACAAAACGAGAGAACCACCTTGCGTCCGTCATATTACTATATGGCGGGCAGGAGGTGGTTAACCACTTCCTGTCCGGCCGCTGTTTATAAACGGCAGGACGGGACACCTACAGGAGCGGGTTGCCGTCTCTAAACGGCACCTTGTATGTGAGGCTCGTGCGCGGCTCCTAGAGCGCGCACACCCCGCGAGCCCGATGATCGCCGAGTCCGACGGACACGGTGGATTACGTGACATGGTATGGGACCAATGAAATCGGTCCCATACCATGTGATCAGCTGTGTCCAATAAGGACACAGCTTAAGTGTATACAAAAGCCGCATGGTGCGGCTTCCGCCTCCTTCTCCTCTCACGGAGTTGTCTGTGAGAGGAGAAACAGCGAAGAAGAGGGTTGTAGCTAACTGCCCTCCACCTCAGTGACACCTGATCGCCCCTAAAGTGTCCCTGATCGCCCCTAAAGTGGCCCTGATTGCCCCACGTGTCCCTGATCACCCCAATAAGTGTCCCTGATTGCCCCCAAGTGTCCCTGATTGCCCCCACAAGTGGCCCTGATTGCCCCAAGTGGCCCTGATTGCCCCAAGTGGCCCTGATCGCCCACAAGTGGTCCTGATCACCAACAAGTGGCCCTGATCGCCAACAAGTGGCCCTGATCGCCCCCACATAGTGTCCCTGATTGCCCCCACAAGTGGCCCTGATTGCCCCAAGTGGCCCTGATTGCCCCAAGTGGCCCTGATTGCGCCCATCGCCCACAAGTGGTCCTGATTGCCCACAAGTGGCCCTGATTGCCCACAAGTGGCCCTGATCGCCCAACAAGTGGCCCAGCAGTGTCCCTGATTGTCAGTGTCCCTGATCACCACATAGTGGCCCAGCAGTGTTCCTGATCGCCACAGTGTCCCTGATCGTCACAGTATCCCTGATCGCCGCAGTGGCCAAGCAGTGTCCCTGATCGTCACACAAGTGGCCCAGCAGTATCGCCGCAGTGGCCAAGCAGTGTCCCTGATTGCCACACAAGTGGCCCAGAAGTGTCCCTGATTGCCGCAGTGGCCAGCAGTGTCCCTGATCACCGCAGTGTCCCTGATTGCCGCACAAGTGGTCCAGCAGTGTCCCTGATCGCCGCAGTGGCCCAGCAGTGTCCCTGATCACCGCAGTGTCCCTGATTGCCGCACAAGTGGTCCAGCAGTGTTCCTGATCGCCACAGTGTCCCTGATTGCCGCACAAGTGGTCCAGCAGTGTCCCTGATTGCCGCAGTGTCCCTGATTGCCGCAGTCCCTGATTGCCGCAGTGGCCCAGCAGTGTCCCTGATCGCCACACAAGTGGCCCAGCAGTGTCCCTGATCGCCGCATAAGTAACCCAGCATTGTCCCCGATTGCCGCACAAGTGGTCCAGCAGTGTCCCTGATCACCACAGTGGCCCAGCAGTGTCCCTGATCACCGCAGTGTCCCTGATTGCCGCACAAGTGGTCCAGCAGTGTCCCTGATCGCCCAGCAGTGTCCCTCACTGCATGCCGCAGTGGCCCTGATTGCCGCAGTGTCCCTGAATCACCACACAAGTGGCCCAGCAGTGTCCCTGACCACCACACAAGTGGCCCAGCAGTGTCCCTGATCACCGCATTGGCCCAGCAGTGTTCCTGATCACCACACAAGTAGCAGTGTTCCTGATCACCACATTGGCCCAGCAGTGTTCCTGATCACCACACAAGTGGCCCAGCAGTGTCCCTGATCACCACATTGGCCCAGCAGTGTTCCTGATCACCACACAAGTGGCCCAGCAGTGTCCCTGATCACCACAACAAGTGTCCCAGCACAAGTGGCCCAGCAGTGTCCCTGATCGCCGGAGTGGTCCAGCAGTGCCCCTGATCACCGAAGTGTCCCTGATCACCGCAGTAGTCCAGCAGTGTTTCTGATTGCCACACAAGTGGCCCAGTAGTGTCCTGATCATCGCAGTGGCCCAGCAGTGTCCCTGATCGCCGCAGAAGTGGTCCAGCAGTGTCCCTGATCGCCGCAGTGTCCCAGCAGTGTCCCTGATCACCACAGTGTCCCCGATTGCTGCACAAGTGGTCCAGCAGTGTCCCTGATCACCGCAGTGTCCCTGATTGCCGCAGTGGCCCAGATCACCACACAAGTGGCCCAGCAGTGTCCCTGATCACCACACAAGTGGCCAGCAGTGTCCCTGATTGCCGACAAGTGGTCCAGCAGTGCCCCTGATCACCGCAGTGTCCCTGATCACCGCAGTTGCCCAGCAGTGTTTCTGATCGCCACACAAGTGGCCCAGCAGTGTCCTGATCATCGCAGTGGCCCAGCAGTGTCCATGGTCGCCGCACAAGTGGTCCAGCAGTGTCCCTGATCGCCACAGTGTCCCTGATTGCCACAGTGTCCCTGATCGCCACACAAGTGGCCCAGCAGTGTCCCTGATCACCGCAGTGGCCCAGCAGTGTCCCTGATCACCATACAGTGGCCCAATCAGTGTCCCTGATCACCTTACAGTGTGCCTGTTCATAAAGTGTCCCTGATCTCTGCCACACCAGTGGATCCTGTTCACTGCCATCGTCTGTGAGGAGAGAGATCCAGTACAGCCAACTGTGAGTAATTTTCAGCCTTTGCACAGAGTTTACACACACTCACAAAACATTGCCAGCCACCTCACTGTATCTCTGATTTTTGCCCAACAGTGACTAGTGTGAACCAACTGCAGCCAGATATCTGTCCCTCACTGCAACACCAGCCTGATCACTGCCATACCAGTGGGTCCTGATCAGTGTCAAAAATATGGCCAAAAGATCATATACAAGCGAGGAGGGCATTTCAAATTCTGAGTATGACAGATGAGAGTGACGGAGAACTTAAAACATACCTTGGGGTGTTTGCTTTCCAAAATGGGGTCTTTTTATGGATAATTCCATTGTCCTGATGCTCCAGGACCTCCAAAACAGCAATAGGTAGTTAAGAAATTAGATGTGCGATCTTTGCCCTTAGAACGCTAACAGGTGCTTATTGGATGTGGAACCCCTCTATGTGGCCAGACTGTGAAAAAGTCTCACACATTTGGTATCACCATATTCAGGAAGAGTTAGAGAATGTGTTTTGGGGTGTAATTTTAAGTATGCCTATGCAGTGTATTAGAAATATCTCATAGATTGACAACTTTGTGTAGAAAAAAATACATTTTCATTTTCTTTTCGCATTTTCCAAAAACTTGTGGCAAAAAATGAAGTCTTCAGAAGACTCTGCATGCCTCTTAAAACATACCTTGGGGTGTTTGCTTTCCAAAATGGGGTCATTTTGTGGATAATTCCATTGCCCTGATGCTCCAGGACCTCCAAAACGGCAATAGGTAGTCAAGAAATTAGATGTGTAATTTTTTGCCCTTAGAACGCTAACAGGTGCTTATTGGATGTGGAACCCCTCTATGTGGCCAGACTGTGAAAAAGTCTCACACATTTGGTATCGCCATATTCAGCAGGAGTTAAAGAATGCGTTTTGAGGTATCATTTTAAGTATGCCTATGCTGTGTAATAGAAATATCTCATAGATTGACAACTTTGCGTAAAAAAAAATACATTTTCATTTTCTTTTCACATTTTCCAAAAACATGTGGCAAAAAATGAAGTCTTCAGAGGACTCCCCATGCCTCTTAAAACATACCTTGAGGTGTTTTCTTTCGAAAATGGGGTCATTTTGTGGGTAATTCAATTGTCCTGGTGCTCCAGGACCTCCAAAACTGTGATAGACAGTCAAGAAATTAGATGTGTAATTTTTGCCCCTAGAACGCCTAAGGGTGCTTATTGGATGTGGGGCCCTTCTATGTGGTTAGGCTGTGAAAAAAGTTTTACACATGTAGTATCGCCATACTCAGGATGAGTAGCAGAATGTGTTTTGGGGTGTAATTGCAAGTATGCCTATGCCGTGTGAGAGAAAGAACTTGTTAAATGACAAACTTTGTGGGAAAAAAAAAAAAATTTTTTTTTACTTTCATCATTTCCTTAAAAAATTGGCAAAAAATGACAACTTCAAAAAACTCCCCATGCCTCTCATTAAATACCTCAGACTGTCTACTTTCCAAAAAGGGGTCGTTTGGGGGGTATTTGTACTGTCCTGGCATTTTAGGGCCCCAAGAAATTATATAGGTAGTCCGTGCATCAGGATTGATACATTTTCAAATATATCAAATATATATATACCGTGGTCTGTGGACTCTATAACTTTCACAAAGACTAAATAATACACACTGATTTGGGTTATGTCTCCAACAAAATGTAGCACAATGGATTTTGGCCTAAATTTATGAAGAAAGTATATATTTATTTGCAAAATTTAGTATCAAATACTAAGAAAAACATGTTTTTTTTCAAAATTTTCAGTCTTTTTTCATTTTTCTAGCAAAAAAATAAAAAACCCCAGTGATGATTAAATACCACCAAATTAAAGCCCTATTTGTTTGAAAAAAATGATAATAATTTCATTTAGATACAGTGTTGTATGCCTGAGTAATTGTCATTCACAATGTGAGGAGCGCCGAAAGCTGAAAATTGGCCCTGGACAGGAAGGGGGTAAAAGTGTCCGGACAGGAAGTGGTTAAGCTTGTGATCTACCAGAACTACCAGATCCTTCTCCACCATTGATTCCCCCAGTTGTACTCCCCCTAGTATGTATGATGCATGCATATTAGCCACCAAGTGCATAACCTTACATTTATCAACATTGAAACCGCATTTGCCACATAATTGACCAATTTAACAGTGCACTGAGGTCGGCTTGTAAAATTGGAGACATCCTGTAAGGATGTTATTCCACTGCAAAGCTTGGTGTCATCTGCAAAGACTGAAACTGTATTTTTAATCCCAGACTCTATATATTGTTTATAAAAAATATAAAAAAGTAAGGGTCC